ATGCGGTGGCCAAAATTTTCTCCGCGGAGGTGAAGTTGTGATGGGAAAACCCGTGGGAAATGGGGTACCTGTATACTAACTGTATACTTTAGGAAACCTCCATACTGTGTATAATATATATATACACATATATGTACATATATATATATACATACCCATGTATATGTATGTATGTATATATATATATATATGGCAAATGCCTGGGCTTTGCCCGGAACCGCAACCACGACAAGGATTGCATCATCATCATCATCATCGTCATCATCATCAAACCCTTATTGAAGATCTTCAATACATGTAGAAGTTTAACCGGGGTGGGAGAATGAAACCCTTAGCGAAGATCTTCAATGGATGTAGAAGTTTAACGGGGGTGGGGGAATTAAAACCCTTATTGAAGATCTTCAATAAATGTAGAAGTTTAACGGGGGTGGGAGAATTAAACTCTTATCGAAGATCTTCAATGAATGTAGAAGTTTAACGGGGGTGGGAGAATTAAACTCTTATCGAAGATCTTCAATGAATGTAGAAGTTTAACGGGGGTGGAAGAATTAAAACCCCTTTTTGAACATCTTCAATAAATGTAGAAGTTTAACGGGGGTGGGAGAATTAAACTCTTATCGAAGATCTTCAATGAATGTAAAGTTTGACGGTTGTTGGACTTTTATATTCCCTAATACCTTTGTTCATCTTCCCAGTTGAATGTAAAGTTTAACGGGGGTGGGATTTTAATATTCCCTAATACTTTTGTCAATCTTCCCAAGAATGAATGTAGAGTTTAACGGGGGTGGGATTTATATATTCCCTAATACCATTGTTGATCTTCCCAATGGAATGCAGAGTTGAAACAACATTTGATGGGGAATGGGGACCGGCAAAGCCCAGGCGTTGCGCGTATATAGTATATACATATTATACATATGTGTACTAATTTGGTGTGGATACAAAAAAACACCGTTTTTGTAGGAACATGTCCTAAAGGGTCCTACTTGGTGAAGCAAGAACACAGCCATGATCCTCTAGAAGTTCTCAGTTTTTATGACTGAAATTCTTCCGTGAGACCCGGGGACTATGATAATCTCAGGGGCAAAAGGCAAAACCATTCTCGGTCGATGCTGCAGGGCGACCACATCCCATGATAAAGCCCACTTTGCCTAAAAACATCATTGCCAGGTATACATACGGTATCTTAAGTGATCTGCAGCGCAAATAACAAATGAGAACTGTCAGTGCTATATATAGTATTTATATATCATTTATTAAAATACATATATATATATATACACATATAAATAGTAAATATATAATAGTAAGTATATACAATAATAACTATTATTTAATAGAATACATTGTTTTTTAATTAACAACATATCTAATATCTGATATTCAATATACATGCTTTAAATACATTATATTTAATAATAACATGTAATATAATTTTCTTTAATATTATATATAATACGTTGTTTAATAATACATATATATATATATATACAAAAATGTATATATATATATAAACGATATATAAAATACCAAATATTATAGATATAATATTTAATATATATGTTTAATAGTATATATGTATGTATGATAGATACATATGATATGTACAATATATATATAATATGTATTCAACATGTTCAATATAACACACAAATATATAGTATATATTTTATATTATATATAATATTATTTATTTATACATATACAGTAGGCATTTTCAATTCTTGCAGATGGGGCGGTACTTTCAGGCTGACGGATTTGAGTCGCAGCCCCAGCCTGTGATCGATTTCCATGCAGATTGGATCCGGAAATTGTCCCGAATAAAATACAGAAGTATATAAAAATACATATAGTATATATATAAATCATGATCAACAAGTAGTGATTTAGAATTGTCTATTCATTTTATTATTAATGAATGCCATTTAACAGTTTCTTCTGCCGAGTCTCGGACAGCGGACCCGGCTCAACCACAAGCGAAAAGCTTCTGGTGCCTACATATTCGTATGTACATTATATAATGTATATATAATATTATATAATTGCAACACAATAAAGATAATTGTGGTAACATATTTGTATATATATAGTTAGACTAGAATCTATATAGTTATATTCTAATATATATATATGTAACATTATACATATGTAACATTATATATATACATAGTTAAAATATTAAACAAATATAATATATTTTTAATAATATATATTTATATATTTAGTTGTATATAGTTTTATCAGGATCAGGATCAACAAATCAGAACCTTGACTTGCACATGTTTCGGTAAATTCATCCGCAAGTGATGCCGATAATCAAACCTGGACATGGGAGATCCCCCATCTGTAGATGATGTGCTTCAATTTATGATTTCTATTTGTCCTTTCAGACATATGTTTTTTCATTGTCAGACTGGATTAGCGGAGGATCAATCTAATGATGATTACCTTGTGATATCTTGACACTTTTCCGATTTTGGGCACTGATACCCCTTCTTGGAAAAACACTTGCTAGCTCTCTTCGCTCAAGGCATGACAATGCTGGGTTGACCTGGCAAAATCATGTGTTGATACTGTAGTTTGGCTTCGTGTTGGTCATTTTTCTTATCCCAAACGCTTGGGTATGCAGGTTCTTTGTATTATATTTATATGTGGGTGCCCAAAAATGGTGTGGTCTATACATGTCTATACTGTACAAAGAAACATGTAACATTACCATTCAATCTGTGGTCCCAGGTTTGAACATGTTGGCCCATTTTGAAGAAACAACATCACATAAAGTCGGGTGGTTGAATGTTGACACAAATATTTTTGATGAAACACCAATATTTGTGTTGGCTAGAACGCAAAACGCATGTTTACCCGAAACTAACTAACACAGATGTGGAACACCAGTGGTTTCCCTGGAAAAATGATCTAAGAATGGTGGATGTTCATGGATTTTCATAGGATTTTCCACATCGTTACTTTACCCCAGGGCCCCAGGGTAAACATTACGCTGCGCCGAGGTTCCGCACTCAGCCAATGATTCCGCTGCCCGGCACTTTTACTGATCGGACCATCCCCTAATCACCATACAAATCTACATGGGTTGCTTGTGATGATCGAACTGGCAGATGGGCCACACATATATCTAATGTAATGTAATGTCATGTCATCTCATGCCATGTAATGTCATGTCATGTCATGTCATGTCATGACATGTCATGGTCATGTCATGTCATGTAATGTAATGTCATGTAATGTCATGTAATGTCATGTCATGTAATGTCATGTCATATCATGTAATGTAATGTCATGTCATGTAATGTCATGTAATGGCATGTCATGTCATGCAATGTAATGTCATGTCATGTCATGCAATGTAATGTCATGTCATGTCATGTAGTGTCATGGCATGTCATGTCATGTCATATCATGTCATGTAATGTCATGTCATGTAATGTCATGTAATGTCATGTCATGTAATGTCATGTCATATCATGTCATGTAATGTAATGTCATGTCATGACTTGTCATGTAATGTTATGTCATGTAGTGTCATGTCATGTAATGTCATGTCATGTAATGTCATGTCATGTAATGTCATGTCATGTAATGTAATGTCCTGTCATGTCATGTAATGTAATGTCATGCCATGTAATGTCATGTCATGTCATGTCATGACATGTGACATGTCATGTAGTGTAGTGTCATGTCATGACATGTCATGTAATGTTATGTCATGTAGGTCATGTAGTGTCATGTCATGTCATGTCATGTAGTGTAATGTTATTTCATGTAATGTCATATCATGTAGTGTCATGTCATGTCATGTAGTGTCATGTCATGTAATGTAATGTCATGTCATGTAATGTAATGTAATGTTATTTCATGTAATGTCATGTAATGTAATGTAATGTAATGTATATAATATGATTTGCATAGAATCATGTATATGTATACATAGGTATACATATATATACATATATATATACATGCATATAATAACCATATATATACATGCATATAATAACCATATATATATATATACATGCATATAATAACCATATATATATATATATACACATGCATATAATAACCATATATATATACATGCATATAATAACCATATATATATACATGCATATAATAACCATATATATATATGCATGCATATAATAACCATATATATATATATATATACATGCATATAATAACCATATATATATATACATGCATATAATAACCATATATATATATATACATGCATATAATAACCATATATATATACAGTAATTATACATATATTTTCACTTTCTGTATACCATGTTGCTCAGATCGCAAATGTTCTGGCCAGGGCCAACGGGATGGGAAAAAGTATCAGGATGTATGATCATGTTCCCCACGCACTACTGTAAAGTGATGTAGAATATTGTAAATTTCATCATTTTTACAGCATTGGGCATCTCCGAAATTTTTGGAGAGATCATGGGGATATCAGGATATCCATGGATATCCCCTGATTTTTGGACTACCCGCTGCACAAACTGAGGCTACAGATCTCAATGTTTTTCAGCGCAATTACACCGTCGGAGCCCAGGTTGCCTCAGGTTGGCGGGAGATTATCATGGATATCACCCAGAGCAGATGGATCGTATGCTTACACCTACAAGATCCTACAAGAACAACCAAACATCAAGCATTTATGCAGGTCATTAATTGTAAATTATTGTAAACTGACTAAGATGATGCATGAGTTACAACTAAGATGAAGCCACATGAATCGATTTTGACTCTGGTACATCCCAAATGTGAATACCCTCTGGTAATTTAACATAGCTATTGAAAATCACCATTTTTAATGGGAAAATCCACTATCAATGGTCATTTTCAATAGCTACGTTAAATTACCAGAGGGTAAATGTGATAGATCCAATGAACCGGACCCCATTGGGCTAGGGATACAGCTTGGTCAAGTCCTTGATGCCGCTGCTGCAGAGCTTGGTTCAGAGAAAACCCTTTTCCTGCCATGATCCGCGGGCAACAAGTCTGCTTGTTTTTTGGCGATTGGGATGGGGATTGTAACTTGAAAGGCTTGAAAAGTATTTTTTTTTGCGAAATTGGATTGTGTTCTGGTTGATGGATTCGACATGTTTTGAAGATACATATGTATCTATATATATATGTATAGGAATAGTAATAGGAATGATAGTAATAAGAATATATGATATTCTATATATATATGTATTCTTGTTCAAAATGTTTCAATCATGTAAGGGATATTTGGGACGACAATCGCCATTTGACTTCTTTGCATGGGAGTTAAAAGGCACCATCCAGTGTTGTATCTCACCGTGCAAGTGCCAATAATATGGATACACACATATATATATATATACGAACATGTTTTTTGGTTGAGTCTAGCCATGACTTCAAAGGTCAGCGAGAGGTAGTTTCGAACATTGTTCATGCATCAGTGGGAGTATGATACCAATGGTTTGATTTTGTTTTAGAATTGGTGGCCCAACCAGCAAACAGAAAAAAATAGGGGTGGATCAACTTGAAGGTATGGTTTGAGGAATTTGGCTTCCAGGTGATAAGTGTTGCCATCTTTACATATCAGAAATTTGGCCGGGGGAGCCCTGATCTTTCGATTCCAGTGTTCCCCTTCCTTCATACAAATCAATCTCCTTGCTCTAATCTGCTCCGCAAATTCAAGAACACCATCTCAACCTCGTCCGTTTGCATGGCAGGATCCCACTATCTGGAGAATTTATCTTGAATTTGCAGCTACTTCGACATAAATCACCCAGCACCACCTCAGATACAAGACGCTTGAACTGTTGGGCTTGAAGCCTGGTCACATGGGGTACCAGGGATGTCAAATCTTGGGGGGTTCAAAGGTTCGACCTTTTGGATCCTTTTGGTGATTCCCACCTGACCCCAGGTTCCTTCTTGGACTCGCCCTGGTATGGGCTGATGACTGTGATGTAGAAGCCGAACCCACCAGCTTGCTGCAAGCCGTAAAGGCCCATTCGTTGCGCGTGTTCCAACGCGATTTTTTAGTGACTTTGGGAGGTCGGGATTGTCCTTGACCCAATATGGTTTGGATCGGAATCATGTGATAGGGATGAGAATATAATAATGAATAATATCAATCATCTGGATCGCTGTGACCTATGGCCAGAAAACCATGGAAAAACTGTGGATTGTCCGGATATCGCAGGGTATAGCTTAGAAAGGTATTGGTACTTTCGGATTCAGAAGCTTCCAATCCAACCATCTGATTGAATGACCAATCCTGAAAATGATCAATTTTCTGGATCCTTTGGTAGCCCATGTTTGGTGTTAGCATCATATCAAAGCCAATGTTGGATATTTAATGTACCTGCCCCAATCCGAAACGGTCAAATGATGTTATACAAATATACTCCAGGATGGGAATGCATAAACAACCAAACAAGGACATATGTATAATCTACATATATAGATACATTTTTTTTGTTATTATTATTGTTACTGTTATTATTATGTATATACCTGGATCTTCGAAAGGACACAAATAGTTGTCCGTTTGCAAGATTTCTGCCCTTAGGGCGGATTTCTTGTAAAGGAGCTGGAAATGGTCATTTCTTGACTACTGTGGTCAATTTTGGATTTCGTACCTTTTGGGCTGATATTACTCTACTTTGCGTAAAAATGTGTCGATTTTTCTGGGCGGACATTCCGGGAAAAGGGCGGAAATACCCGGGAAAAGGGCCCAAATACCCGGGCAGATTCATCATGACTCAAAAATGAAAACATGAAGCGGTAAGTTTTTTTCTTGAAATGGTAATTTTTATTTTGAAATGGACAAATCTACAGAAAATGGACAGAAATCAAACCAAAATCTGCCCTGGAAAGAAATTTGCAACCAATGAATATCCAGGTATATATATATATACCTAGGCCTGCCGGCTGGGTAAAAATTTCTTCCGCCAGCCCAGGCTTAAGAAATTATTGTCGCTTCAGAAATGTCTGCCGTCTCAGCCAAAAACTTCCGGTTCAACTGTTTGGCGGGATTCTTGCAGGGTCAGCTGCCATTCTTTCAGTTTTCGCACTTTTCTGATATTCACACACTCTGGAGAACATTGGCAGATATAATGTCAAAGTCCAAATATGCGTTGAAAACAACCAAAATAATTTACGCCGTTTGGTTGGAAATTTACGCCGTTTGGTTGGGAATTTATGCCGTTTCAGTTTCTCAATTTTTCGGTGGAAGTTTTCAAGGTGGACACATGAGTTATGCGTTCTTCATGCGGCGAAAGTCTCCTCCACACCCATGGAATTGACAGAATCCCATTCCACTCAAAACATCACAATTTGCTGGAGCCATCCAAAATCCAAAAACTTCCGTCTCATCAAAAAAGCTCCGTTTGAGGGTTGACCCCTCCAAAAGTTAATTTTTCACCAAACATAAATAATTATTGCTGCCTCGGTTGTTCTAGGTATGATTATATACCCATGGGTTCCAACAAAAGATACATTTTCTCTGACCATTTGACCTCAGTCCGTAGCACAGTGATTTCTGCCTGTGTCTATCGAATTCTATTGTTTTGGTATGTTTTGGTAAAAAAGAAAACAACTTGTTGGTGGTCCTAGTTTCGACTGTATTTACGATATTTACAGTACAATTCAAGTGCCTGGGTTTGCCTTAAAAAAGGGTGCTGTACTCCACACTTCATGATGTGTCATTATTTTCCACCTTCACATGACCATATATCGGGGGCAAATCTCCATTTGTTTGACAAACCCTCATCTTATTGTTGATTGTATATCCCACTATATCCCATAAAAAATCACCCCCATCAGTTGGTTTTTCAAATGTTGGCTGGTGAAAATTCCACCCAATAGATGCCAATATCTATATACATATATCATTAAATTACATATATATATATATATATCTATATACAACATATATAATTATATGTATATATATATAGTTATATGTCTATCTTCATGTATGTTTCATATGTTGGATTTCTGATCCACAGTTGGTTTTCCAGCGATATTCCCTACGTAGGTTTCCCCGCGGCTGCTTTGTCCCAGGGCTCCGCGGGCTCTGCGGGCTCCGCCGCGCCGTACTTCAAGGGCACAGCGAAGGAGACCAAAGAGCATCATATGGATGTACTAAAAGGAGCCGGGTGATCCGACCTTTTGGGGGACGGTGACATGATAAATCATGATAAATGTTGGGTGGTGTTAAACATACTAAAACATATTATAACATCTATAACATGAAAAATAATGCCAGATTGGTTAGTTAGCTATGAGTTTTGCGGTTGACCACTGCCTACTTCTAATTTTTTTTTGGTGCATTTCATGGGTTCTGGGCCCCAGTTACTGGCCGCATTAAACAACCCCTATGGCCAAATCTCACGACGATGCCTCTGGAGTGCTTGTGAAACACCAGCAGTGTGCGGTTCTGTGGCCAAATCAAATGGTGACGGTGACCAGCTTATTGCTGAATACCCCGCTGATAATAGCACATTCACCTACATTTACTGGAAACAACTTTGATGTGGTATTATATTGTCTAGAGGAACATTTTCTTCTGAGCAAGATTTAAGTTGATATAGAGAGAAAAACATGTAGGACATTTACAAAATATGAGGTTCGACATGTTTACTCTCAAAATCCGCCCTCGTGCTGTGGTATTCCACCAGCACAGGACCTACGGGCTTGTTCCCCTACAACGTCATGACCTGCCAAGGTTTGGATGTTTTTTGTTTGTCGGGTACCAGGTACCCAAAAGTCCAGTGGGTGATCAGTGATCAACATTCTCCCTTAACGATGATTTGCAAAAGCTTGGGATGATAAATCCATGAATCCCATATTTTTTGGGATTACATATGATCAAAAAGATGAAATCTGACATTTTTGGACACAAAATTGGGATCACATAGAACATTCATAAAACTAAATCCAGTAAATCCCATCTTTTTTTGAGAACCCCAAGCCGCTTTTTGCCGGCTGACCAGCAAGCCGCCGAGCGTGGAGGTGAACAGACGGTGAGTACCAAAAGCATGACATCAGCAAAATATGATGAGGTTGTGAACAAAGTTCTGGACCGAAAGGGGGGCGGTCACCTGGTATCACCTTTTAATAGTTAGGTAGCTTAGTTATGATTAGTTGATGTTAGTTGTTTTTTTTGTCAGCTGCTGGATCCCCGCTTGTATGGAGATATACAAAAACACGAGCTAGATTGTTTTGTTGAACAGTAATTATCTAAGAATCGCCATGGGATGTATTGCAGTAGACAGTAGACTTGATGTCCAAGATGGTGAGAATTCTATGGTGAGCAACTGTGAGTCGAGCCTGGAACGGATATGGGAAGATTTTCGCTTCTTGAGTGTTTTCTGTTTTTGGAACTACCAACGTTTGCTTATTGCAGGATATTCTAGGGTTGTTGCTACAGGGGCCTCTGAACAGCGAATGTCTGGCTGTAGACTGAATTATATAAGTGGACTCACTTACGAATGTGGGATCCGCCTTAGCTTGGTTGCATGTTTTTATGGTACCCTGACTTTCGAATTGCCCACAGGAATGGGTCAAAACACTACACTCTTATACAACGATGCAGACGATACAACATACTGGGTGGGGTAGGGTTGAACAAACACTGGAGATCTGAGTTGTGTTGTCGCTGCAAAGGAAATATCCCGAGGAGGTCATTCTACAGAGATCTTGTGGGAAATCCTTGCTCAGATCTCATTGAAAACTAAGGTGTAGTGTGTATGGGTTTCCTTGCCAGAGTAATTGCAAGGTCCATGATTATTTTCTATTTATGAAGGTCTAGTATATTCTATATATATATATATACCCATATATGTATATATATATATACCCGAAGGATCCCTTTAAGGCAAATCCATCTTTTTTGCACTTTCCAAGCATTCTCTGGCACTGAGTCTTTCCTGAACGAAGGTTCACCGTCACAAGCGGTGGTTTCAGGAGCTGTATAACAAGTTGGATTCCACCTGTGTAGCAACGAATTGCCCGAGAGTATCTGGGATGCAGGGTTCCACACTGCAATTGGCATGGTCTGACCCAGTTTTGTCATTTTGCCAATGCCAATGACGTCAGTTCAAACAGATTGTTCTGACTGGATCATCCCGGTCTGACGCAGGTTGAATTAAAAAAGATGGGCAAGCCCCATTGAGATACCAATACGGTATATGATCGTAAGCCAGTGTAGACGGCACACATTTATCTGACGCGAGGCTTAATGATATGTCGAACTGGAAGTGACTGGTCATTAGGATGGGTAATTGTTCAATGCCAACAGTGGGATATTTTGTAGGGATAAATGAGCCACTTTCTCTGGGCGACACACTACCAAATCTAAGTCCATCGGTGTGATAGCATTTCCTTCATCTTGAACTGGGTCCAGAATTTCTTAAGATGTACATACTGTAGGTGTACTGTTCCAAACCGCATCCGCATGCCTGATCAATGTCCAATCTAGTGATATCCATGATTGCGAAGTCCGTTCATGTTATGCTTTGAAGCCTTGCGAAAATTGTTTTTTGACTTCGCCAAAGAAAGAAAACATGTCGCGGAAGTATGAATCCTCATTGCACACGTAATTTTCGCGAAAGTTATGTGAAGGAGCGGCGGGCAAAAGTGAAAGTTCATTTTGAAGGGGGTGGCCCAGTATGCCTCAGACATATAAACAGATATATTCCCAATGCAACCATCTGTGATCATCTGTCCTCAGAAGGAATTCTGTGATGCTAGCTGCATGTTCAATAAGCAATTATGAAGTAATCTATGACAATGTGGCAGGCAATGACTGAGTCTTCACAAGACGCGTTGTTGGTGCAGATGGGTCTAAACATGCAGTTCGCGAAAGTAAAGTTTTATTTTGAGAAAAATAGCAGTTTCCGGATGCAATAGTTTAGGTTTAGATCAGACATGATCAAACAATACATGTAAAAACCACATATATATATATATGTATATATATATATTGCGAAGCAGCCTCGCTTCAACAGCAGCCACCAGCAGCAACGCCTCTGCTGCTTTTCCCACCAATGGCTCAATCCGCACCGCTGCCCACCGCTGGAGGTGAACCAATAGTTGCGGCCAAGGTGCAAATGGTAAACAACCTCCCTGACATGTAAGACCATGGGAAAACAAGGACTGCCAAGATGGCAGCTGAGGTCCAACCGTCAAGCTCACCAGGACAATAAACTGTGGAAGTTTCACACACCCCTTACTTTAAAAATGGTCTTACCTGTCCAGAGGTTTGACATCTTTGCATGTCCTCTCGTGCCAGGCCAAAAATCCTTATTGTACCATCTATGCCCGGTCGAATCACAACCATGAGTTACTCTCTCCAACCCCAAGGTTCTAAGATCAACAGGACAATCCAGAATTCCTACAGGAGAAAACAACTGATATCTTGGGACATGATGTACGCGGATAACCTGGCCACTTGAGTCCTGTTCCCATGTGTCCTGCCGGACTTCTTCTGTACATTTCAAAACTGTCTCATTTTCTGGAGACTTGGACGTCACTTCTTTGGCCCATTTCAAACGCTGTCGCTTGTCAGATCTCTGTTGCAACACTCGATTTTCATCAAACAAAGAATACCGACCACTCTTCAAACACTGTCGCAAAACGCTTGCATCCATGCTCTTTGTCAAACAATCTGCAAGCTGAGCATTTGATGTAACCCATCTCACTGCGCAATTGGCCTGCAATCTTTCTCTGATGAGCAAACACTCAATGGTGGTCCTATGCTCCTCACACTGTGGAACGGCCGTGCGAGTCAGAAGGTCATAGGCACTCTTACAGTCGGTCACAAGAGCAGCTTGTCGGGCTTCGTGCAACACTTTCTCGGGGGACTGCCATTCAATCGAGGGGTTATTCCACTGCCACAAAATCCTCAACCACAACAAACGATCAACATTCCCACTCAATGCCACTGCTTCAGCCCCCAAGGTGCTCCTAGTCACCCGTTGAATTTTCTTGCTCATCCAAGCTACTGGTGCTACCACTGATCTCTTGTTCTCCAGCAACTCTGGAGTCGTGACAAAAATCAAACCTCCCTGATGGGCATATTTCTCTTTTCCTGAAAGGAACGAGGCATCGGAGAAGGCACAGAAAGTCACTTGTTCAGGGGCAATCGGCAATGTCATTAAAGTCACAGGGTGAACCTTTGCCTCATGCAACACTCGATTTGCAAAAATCATGTCATCGACTGTTGCCTTTGCTACCCTACTTTGGATCTCTCCAACTTTGGCCGCGATGTCGGGACGGGTATGGACTGCTGCATATTGCAGAGCTCCAACAAGACTTCGCAACTGCGTCACTTCACTCGGGCTCAGCGCAGCTTCAGCATTGGTACGTCTCTGTTTTGGGATTTCAATTGGCCTAATCTTCTCTATATAGTCAATCTGATCATACTCCACACTGCCATCATCCCACTGCTGAAACCTTATGCCCGTGAAGACAAAGGACCCTTTTTCAAATGATCCAAAACTGAAACGCTTTCTGACTCTTTCCAAGGCTGCCATAAACATGTTGTCCCCACCCCCAATGCCATCATCGACATGAACCCCTAGGGGACCATGAACTCTTTCTTTCCCCTTTTCATCAACAGAAACAAGAGTAAAAACACAAGGATCAAAAGGACACTGTTTAAAACCTTCTTGCAACAACGAGTCACGAAACTTACAATACCACAAATAAGGAGCATCAACACGACCATACGCACTACCTACCAATTGACACTGATCACCAGGTTCCGACCCAAGGGCTTCTGTTAACTCTGGGGTGGGATGCAAACCAAGCAAGCGGCCGTCTCCTTCGCCTTGAAGAAAGGCAGTTGAGACATCGAAGGAAACTAGTTCCCAACCATGACTACTCACCTGTTGCACCACCATCTGTCTTCCATCTTTGGTGAGTGTGGGTGAATCATTTTGAACCACCCCAACTCCAGGATCCTCGTATCCAACAACAATCAACCGGGCCTTTGCCTTACGACCCTCACTCACATCCTTGGGGTGATCCTCAGGTGAGGCTGATTTCCAGGTGAGCAGCCATCGGCAGCGCATGATTGCTTCCTCAGGAATTTTTCCTTTGGATGCTTTTCTCACAGTTCCATGTTTGAGCCAGGCGCCTATTTCTTTGTGCTTGGCCACCGCCATGCGCTGTTGGTCAGCACTGCTTAAATCACTCAAACGGACTTCAACTCGTTTCTTCTTTGCTCCAGTCACCAACAACACACTTTCATCTGCTGATCCAGCGCAAAACAGTGCATGCTCTTCATGGTTTTCAACAGGAATTTCAATCTCCCAGAACTGGCAACACCTATCATCTGCAGACATGGTGATGTCATCTCCAAACAGAAGGTCATCCGTTGGTTCAAGATTGACGCCCGCCTGTGAGGCATCACCATCGGACTCACTGACACTTCCTGGAACCGGCACACGCACGTAATCAGGGAGTTCATTCTCTGACTGTTCCACTCCTTGAGGCGGTTCAGACTGATTGCTCAACTCCCCATTAGGTGTCCCAGGTGGCTGAACTGACAACTCTCCTTCGGGCTCCCCAATTGATGGGTCATATCCCTCTGTTTCAGCTTCCCAGTCAGGAAAATCCTCCCCATCTACATCAATGAAACTGCCATCATTGAGGGCTCTCTGTAAATCTGAGTTCCCTGGGCCAGACTCTGTGAGCAACTCTTTGGCCTGCTTCCACTCCCGAAAACTGGCTGCACGAAGTTGCTCAGGGCTCGTGCGCACTAGCTTTCCAGCATGATTCAACCAAACATTCTTGGACCCTTCGACTGCAACAACACTCGCTGGCCCATACCAGCGACCACGATCTCTACGTAGATTGGCACCCCTCCTACGCCAATACAACACAAGATCTCCTATTTCAAAAGGTCCTCGCATTGGCCGAGTCCGCCTCAAAAGCGCACGACGAAGACTGGATGAATTATCAGCTTCTATGAAAGCTCTGCGTGCACTGCTGCGTCTTTCCAGACTGGCTCGAAAGGCTTCGCTCTCGGGACCAGTCCCTTCAGCCAGAGTTATACTTCCTACCCCCTGACTAGAGACAACGGACCCAGGCAATCTTTTGGCAATTCCAAGGACAGCTTGTTCGGGAGAGTATCCCTTCACTCTGGATAAACTGTTCTTGGCATTGAACACATGAACCAAAGCCTGCTCAAACTCCCCAACCGAGTTTATTGGTGACTCCAAATCCATGCGACTCAACATCTTCTTCACAACTGATCCGTGAATTTCCACTCTCCCCAGTTGCCAGTGTGCTTCACTTGCACTGACTTTGACATGGATGTCATGCCTTTGCATTCTGTCCTGCCATGCTTCTGCCGTATATTCCGTGCCAGGGTCAACATACACAACTTGTGGAGTGCCAGCCCATAACATCCAACATTTCTCAAAGACTCGAATTTGAGAATCTGTGTCCGCACTGACAACATGAGAACCAACATGAAACAAAGTCCCTTCATCAATGATATGAGAAAACTGAAAGTTCTTACCAACACTATTAGTCCAAACAGCAGTGTCCATACCAATCACTTGATTGAATCCCAGATTCTCATGAATTGTGCCAGGACGGGTGGAGTCTGGACCAGCTTTTGTTTCCGCACAACTGTCGCACTGAAAATCCAGAGCTCCTTGAACCAAATGAGGTTCCGCATGCCTTTCCTTCAAAAACCAGGCAAACTTCTGTGGATGTGGATGGCCTAAGTTGTGATGCAACCTCCGAATCTGAGCCTTTTCATCACCATTCAACAACATGTACCCTGGTCCATGAACCGGAACATTCTTGGGAGGGTCTTTACTTACCACAACAACATCTTCACCATCATCCCCAGTACCTGCTTCCTTATCAGACCCCATTGTCTCAAGCTCCCCTGACTTTGGAAAACTTCCAAAAATGGTGAGGCTCATCTTTGCAGATTGACCCTTTCGAATTTGCTGCCTTTTTGGCAGAGCAGCCCATTCCTCAGCTGGGCCAAGTACCATTGACTGACCCGTGATGCGGTCTTTGACCACGGTCAATCTCAACGGGATGGTTTCTGGGTCCGCATCAGCTCCAGGAAGGCGCAACCTCTCAGTTCCCCTACAGGCTTCAACCCTCTGAACCTTCAAGTTTGGGGCCCCCTTCTGAATCTGAGCTAAAACCCCATCATCATCCAAAACACGTTTGCCTACCCGTGGAACCATGGTTTCAATTTTCTTAAAAATGCCATCCCAATATTCACCGGCTGCACATCCGTGGTCACCTGCTGGTGTCTGTTTGCTGTGATACCTTGGACGCTTCACTTCTGCTGAAACCGGCTCTTCTAAGCTCTCTGGAACTGCTGCAGCGGACACTCTTTTTCTTTTGACAACTCCGGCAACAAAAGCTTCATCAACATCACAAACATGCAAATGCAACTCATCCAAAACCAGTGGCTTCTCATCAAACCTACAGGAAACATACCTTGCCACATTCCTACCAAAACCGGAGGTGTACCTTGCAGCATATTCCGAGAGAGAAATCCACCGACCCAAATGATAGATCTTGCCAGCAATTGGAGCATGCTTATGATGCCCAGGACACAATCGGTGGTCAAATGCATCATGGAAAATCTTTGAGGAAGTGTAGACATGCGTCCTTTTCCTAAGGAAATTGTTTCCAGACACTCGTCGCATCACATGTGGGGCAAGTAGTTTTCCAACTTCACACATATCAAAAACAGTACACAGGGTCCCACAGTAAATATCATAGACTTCCGGTTGATAAATCAACTCCGACCCTTGGGGTTGTTCCAAATGAAATTGACCACCACAATCCATCTGATACCAATACACATCATTACAAAGCTTCAAATGAACACGTTGCTTCTTGCGACCCTCTGAAATCATTTGTTCTGTGCTTTTGCTCCTGCCCATGTTTCTGCGACTGAAGTTGCCTCAATATTTGCATTCTGGTGCCATCCAGACTTCTCTCGGTCGCTCTTCCTCCAAAACTTTCCAAAGCGCAGCTTGACCTTCTGGTGTAGAAAGATCTCCATCACTGAAAGTGAATCTTCTGGCCTTCAATCCCAGCTTACAAGCTTGTTCTGTGATTTGAGAATGTTCTTCACAATAGATCTCCAGAAGATCACTTCCAAACTTCTGGAAAGTCTGAGAGTCGGTCAGCGTCGGCCATATCTTTTGAAGACAGGTCAGCTCTGCTTCAATTGTTCCCATTGCTAGTTCAATCTTTTTGAGCAATTGGTTGGTCAATTGCTGATCTGTCTCAAGTTGCTCTACGCTAGACCTCTCATTCAGACTCCCTCCAAGTCGGCCTTGATCTTGTCCATCTCGCGCTGCAAGATCGCCATGCGAGTGATCATCTCCTCTTTCTGCTGCACCTCGATCGCCATCTGCGACTGCTCTTCTTCCATGGGGCGCTTCTGACTTGGTGATGACATCGTGCTCATCGGACGCGATGTCACCCCTCCTGTCAACAGCTCCCACTCTGGTCCTTGACTCTTCTCGATCTCTGCCTTCGGATACATCTTGGACATCTCGGCTTTGGCCCACTGTCTGGCATACTCCTGGTAGAAGGCCTTCGAGCAATCTTCCTGAGTGCCAAGCTGACACCAGTTTCCTGTGCTCCTTCATGAACTTGCCGTACTTTGGGTCCTCCTGGTATGCCTGAAAGAAGGACTTGTGCCGCCACTTCCCTTCCGGGAACTTCAACTGACCCCACTCCTTCAAGGTCATCACACCTGGAGGGCGACGACTTTTGATCTCTGGTAGTTGTCGATCTTCGAAGGCCAGAGAGGCATCCACTTCTCCGGACAGCATCGCATCTAGCATCTCTGTCTGGAGTCCCGGAAATGGCGTTCCCGAGGCACTTGGAAGAGTCATGGCTGTCAGCTTGAGAAAGAGCGGACTGACTTTGAAGCCGATCTGGTTCTCGGTCAACTTGAGGTTGAGCCACAGCAGCTGTAGCAGTCGTCGAAGATGTACTTGACATTGTGTTTGGCTGCTGCTGCTGCTTGTGTGTGCAGTAAACCTCCCTACTTCGATTTTCAATTCTACTACTTGCCAAAGTGATGACTTCCTCAAACTTTTCTGAATTACTTCTCATGCTAGCCGCATCAATCAAGTCTGACAACTTGACAATAAACAGCCCCTTGGCATTTCTGGTGAGTGTCACGGATTTTCCCCAAGAAGACACTTCCAAACAGGATTTACTCACCAGAACATCTGCGCCAAGTGCATGAAGAAAGGCATTTGAAATGAGGAAAGGCGTGGTTCCTTGAACCACTTCAATTTTCATCCATTGTTTCCCAAACGGTACAAACAGCGCACCAACACTCTTCAAAACACCATTGTTACCAAATCTAAAAACGGTTTCAGATTCCTTCCACTTAACCATCTCACGGTGTTCTGCCTTCAAAGTAGTCAAAAGTGCACTCACTCGCTTTTCGCCGATCACGGACTTGCTTGCACCGGTATCAATGATCCCAGTGCCTGAGTCACCTAAGCTGCCATTCCTACTTTCCTCAGTTGACTCAGGGGACCTGCCAGTGACACTGAAGCTTGTCTCAATTGCTCGACGAAACATTTCTTTCAGTTTGGGAAAATATTTCAAACTCTTTTCACAACATGACTTCCCTTTGGGAATGTTGATCGCATGCAAAATCATTTCATGGGAACCTATTAAACTGAATTCTTCATTATCAACATGGTACTCAGGTGGCACCATTGTGGGCAACCAAAATTTTGAACACATCCCCACCTGCCAATTGGCAAGATCATGGCCAGGAAGTTCATCAAGAAGTTCACCACCCCCTGAGAGCTCTTCCGTGAGGATCACGTTCGCATCTGCAGTCACATTCTTGTCCTTCAGCGGGCACTCATCCTTCCAGTGGCCTCGTGCTCCACAGGCGCGACAGGTAGAGCTTGCTATGCGCTCTGCAAGACTCTGATACTTTCTGGGGCCTTTGCCCTTCTTTGACTTGTTCTTGCCTTTCCCTTTTCCATGACGAAGGGGCCAAAACCCTCGGCTGCGAAATTTGTCTCGAAGCTTCTGTCGTGCCTCCTGGTACGTGGAGAACGCCATGGCCAGTTCAGGTGAATCCTGACAAACATGGATCACCTGATCCTCGAACTCTTGTATGGCAAGTGCTGTCTCATCACCTTCCTCGATGAGCATGGCTAAGGCTTGCTCTTCATCACATTCTTCTTCAGCTGCATAGTGAATTTCATCCAACTCCTCTTCCACAAAGTTGGCTGGATACACCTTCGTGCGTCCAGCATCTGTCTGCCCAAGCACTTTGGTCGACAGGGACCTCATTGCCTTTTCCACTGCCGACGGATCATAGTTGCCTGCCATAGAGACCACACGCTTCTTGTCCTCAACAGTCAAGGCACTCTGTCTCAACATCACGAAGGCTCGAACTTGTTGGACGGTTGTTTCAGAGCCCACTTCTTCGAAAGCAACATTGATTCGGTTGACAAACGACATTGCTGACTCGTCTGTCTTTTGGACTACTCGGTAAAACGCCTTCTCAAATTTGTCAAAGGTCTGAAGTTCCTCGGCATCCTCCCAGGTCTCCAAAGCTTTCAACAGTACCTTGTAACCAGTCTCAGGGTCTGTCAACTTCGACGCATCAATGGCTCTCACCTGACTCCATGCAGTCCCTTTGCACTGCAAAGCCAACCTTGGTGCCAACATACTTCTGTCCTTCACAGGGCATATGCCCCATAGAAACTTCACCTTGTCCGCATACTCTTTGGCGCTATCGACACTAGGGTCGAAACTCGGCAGCAAGCTCCACAAGTTGCTCGTCTTCTCTTCCACACTCACACTTCCACCAGGCTGTCCCTCAGCCCCGTCTGGCATCTTCCCAAGACGCTTCCACCTTTATTTTTCACTACCCAGTCGCCTCACCAGGTACTTGCCCTTCTCAACCAAGTTTTCCTTCTGGAAGTCCTCCTCCAGCGCCAGCCCGCAGGCTCCGCTGCCAATGCGAAGCAGCCTCGCTTCAACAGCAGCCACCAGCAGCAACGCCTCTGCTGCTTTTCCCACCAATGGCTCAATCCGCACCGCTGCCCACCGCTGGAGGTGAACCAATAGTTGCAGCCAAGGTGCAAATGGTAAACAACCTCCCTGACATGTAAGACCATGGGAAAACAAGGACTGCCAAGATGGCAGCTGAGGTCCAACCGTCAAGCTCACCAGGACAATAAACTGTGGAAGTTTCACAATATATATATATGTATATATATATACACTAATATACATGAAATATATCCTGTAATTGCAATGTAGAGATGTGTATTTGGTTGAGAGACGGCAATTTCAACATGGAAACGACCGAATCAGCGCAGGCTGAGTGGTCTGGCTGTGTGCTGCGTATAGCTGGCCATGATTTCATGGACTACAATCCCCAGGCGCTGTACCATCGCTTCAAAAAGGCACCATTTCTGGATTGAAACCATCGCCAAATGATGGGTTTATAATGGTTTATATAGGGTTATTGGATTGGGTTTCCATTTTCCCACATTGATATAAAGCCAGCAATAAACCATCGCCAACTAGGGTGTCCGATAGGGATACTTCCTATTTGGGTTAATTACATGGGATAGCTGCAGCTTATGAATCTTCTTAGCTTCACCAGTTGCAGCTCCTTGATCAAGAATTGGGAGCCATCCCAAATTTAACTGATAACTGGTACTCCAAATTCAACAGCCTAGGGGCTGAATGATCCGGGATTGACATCACAACCTTTGTCCGTTGAAAAGACGCCCACACGTTGCGTGTACGAACTTTGTCCGTTGCATTATTTGCACACTGCAACTGAACCGCTGGTACTGTATCTTGAACAATTTAGGATAATTTAGGTACAATGTTTATACATGTTTATTCCATTTAAAATCATGGAGATCCACATATATATATATAGATAATATGCGCCGTCCTAAAAACCGACTCCAAACCGGCCATGTTTTCGAATCGCCAGACCCATACCGGTGGCGCCAATGGTTGCATTGATCTGACGGAGCCGGGGGACGGAAGATGTTTTGACGCTGTTTAGTAAAAACTCATGCTAAAGGCACCCCAGGGAAATATAGGGAGGTTTGTTGTACATTGATAGTGGTTTCATGTGGTTTCAGTGATTTCTGCGGTCGAGTTCAACATCCCAAAGTTTTGCTGCAGATTCAAGACTCGTTTTCCACTTGCGGGCAGATCTCGATTGCAGGATCCAGACAACGGTGGGCTGGCCGAGTGTCTTTACACTGGTGCGGAATTTGGCATCTCCATTGCTGATGCGTGGCTTGTCGCCAACCACTCACAAATTGGGCAAATGGAAGATTTACTGGAGATATTAGCCATAGTAATAGGGAACATGATCAACCATAATTTTTTAGTAACTAGGTTGCGGTTGTTTAAAAGAAGAAACTGTGGTGGACAAGATGCTTTTTGTACCACCAACTATGGTGTTTCCTGGAGTGGCTCTGAAACAACTCTGAAAGTGATGGTAAAGGGTAGCTAGTGGTGTTCAATGGTGTTTAATGGTAATTTCAATGGTAAAATACGGATACCATGGTGTTTAATGGTACTGTATATGATGGTATTAACGGTACCCCTTGTCACAAGTCACTTGTCAATGGCATTCAATGGTAACTACAGTATACCAAATTCCGACACCAACACATGTTTTTCCAAAAAGAGGACGTCATTGAAACTCACATTCTTCGACTGGGATGGTCAGCAACTTGGGCCAACCCATTTTTTTGAGTTACGAGGTTGATGTAGGCAGGACCGTAACAAAGCCATACGTCATGTTATTGTATATATACAAATTATACTGCACTAGCTATTCGTATCCAATATAACTCTATATCTGGCTATGTCTAAATCTTCTCGAGATATCTATAGACATTTTGATGGGTGATATTGGATCATGAGGGTAAATATACAAGGATTATGAAACCATATGGAACCATACTCATCCAAAAATGATCTGGGTCACCCTGAAGACCTGTTCGACCTTACCGTGTTGACTTTCAGGTTCAAGTGGACGGTATAGTTCTGCCATGGAAAAGGCTTGAAATCCATGGCCAATTTATTCAATCCATCTCAGATGAGATGACTTTCTCCCAATCCAATAGTTACTATCTTCAGGATGGCAACAACAATTGGAATCCAATGTACTGCGTCCCGCAATGGTTGTATCCTTTTTTTTTTGTTAGCGGGTCAAGATTCCATTGGCCAACATTGGACGGTAACACATTCTTTCTATTGGGTGGTGCCAAATATTCACCATAGAAATCTAGGCGAAACGAGCCATATTTCAACCAACGCCTTGGCCTTGGCAGAAGAACGTTTTCCGGAGGTATGAATTCTTTTGCACAGAAGTGTCACTGGCGGACTTCATCGTCATTGCGGGGCAAGCAATTATTGAGAAGACACGCCAGTGGCTTGGGCATGGGATACACGATGATCTACCCCTGTGACTATCCTGTTTTATCCCATGTTTTGGCAAATGGGCCAGCAAAAATCATTAATTACATAGTTAGTCAAACATTAGTCAAACTAAAAATATATGATTATATAATGAAGCAACTAAAATCAAATATAGTCTTTATAATCAAGTAGCCATTAGCTAAACATTTTGTATGTACTTGAGTGGAACAGTTAACTTGTAACAGAAAATATATGGAATTACTCACCTGTGTTTGGGGATAGACACGGGTCCACTCCACGGCCAAGTGGGCGTTTCGGGCGGCGATCCAGCCTCATAATGCACGGAATGGAAACGTAAATCGATTGGAACTGGCTTAGATATTAGATATGTCCCACCAAAAAAAAAATGGTGTGGAATAAAAAACCCCATCTCTGGACCAAGCAAATTGGATTCAAGCTGGCATTGATTTTTTCATGTTTTTAATGTCATTGCAGCAGTTTTTACTTGACCAAATGGCTGAAAAAGAGATTGGAAAAAATGCATCGCTTGTGATTGGCATCTGTTTCGAGGAATGTCTTGGACATTAACCCAAAGGCCCCATCCATCACTTTGAAGGACATCTTCAAGTCACTTGGAAGAAACCTGCCACGCGGGCGGTGATTTTGGATGTATAACTGGGTTTCATATTTTGAGGAACTACAAAGAACTACAAAGGTATAACATGGTACCTGGTTCAGCTTTGAGGCACCTGCAACTTTGAAGTTGGTAGATTGGATCAACTCCTTGTGCGGAGACAGGTCTAAATCATTTGCACACTGAGAACGAACCCGGTATAGGTTGAAGTTACCCGGTATGGGAACTTAGCGTAGCGGAAAAAGAACCAAATTTTAGCTGATTTGCCTACAGTATTGTAACTGTGATTTCTATAGCTATGTTAAAGTGTAAGTTTCATTCACCACCATTTCAGCTGCATGAAAAAAAGAACACATATCAACCCCTTGTAATGTGTAAGAATCTACTGTCAAGATCCAGGTGCTAGGCCTGACATACCAGAGCCCAGTAGCTTCAGACTGTTCTTTCTTAGCTCACCAATTTACCCTGTAGAAATCTATTTTAGCTGGCTGGACCATGCTACATGGGCCATACAAAAATACGACTGTTCATTGGTCATTTTGAGGGTTATCTACTGCATTGATTGGGATTGTTGCAACCCTGAATAGAGATACCAATCAATCAAACAGTATAATTGGATGAGATAGGGGTATTTTTCACCCTTCAAATGTATTCATAAAGGTTCATTGGCCGGAAAATGGCCATGTTTGATTACCAGATCCAGAGGGTAGCCATGGCTACAGAAACCCAGTTGTAACTTGGATAGTTTAATCCTATCACCTACTGAATCGCCCCTGGCTATCCTGGTTCAATTGGTCCCATTGGCGGTACCCATCCGAGGTGGGGAAGGGACACGGCCACGACATGTCCAGAATCCCATGGAAGTTTGCCGAACCCCGAGGCCCCGGAAATGGAAGCAGAATGGGAAGAGCCATCGAAGGGCAAATCGAAGGGCTAAAAACATTTAAAACTAGGGGGTGAAGTTGCAATGCAAAAGGGGTTGAACCGGAAAGCTGGGGGTTGGCAGATCATCAGTATCGGATGGTAAACTGCCATGCCAGTAGAAGTGGACTGGTTTCACAAAGTCTGCGGAAATGTAGCATTTTTTCAAACGTTAGGCAAGCAGTCGGTTCCTTAGCAGTTGGCCGGATTCCATAACGTTTTGGGACCCAGTTTGGGATCACTTCCGGACCCAGGAAAGTTGCGGAGATGTGGAGAAGGTCTTTGTGAAGAACATGGGACTCACATGGCGCAGGGCTCCTCTGCAGCTGTTCCAGAACGAACCTATCGATGTTCTCTATATGGATGTGGGTCAAAATGGAAGACCGATGTGGGACCACAGATGGAAAAGTCTAGTTTAGTATTAACCATCCATAATTTTGGGGTACCTAATTTTGACCCATACCCATATATTATTATATATTCCCACTAGTGAGTTAATGATCCTATCCATAACTTTTCCCACTAGTGAGTTGGTGAATTCAGTGAATTCATACACTACCATGGAGTAACACCATATTTTCCCAGCCATCTGTTTTTGGGCGCCATGGCTGAGGCTACAGCTCTAATGGGCGTGCACACCTTAGGAAGATGTCGGATTGAAAACTCGGGCTACGATGGCTGGTGGAGCAACGTTTGGACTCTCGGTCCTTATGGGCCCTTGGAAGATCCTTATGGGGCTCTAAGGGCCCAGGGCGGAGTGCACATTTTTTCCTGGTCCAAAGTCACTAACTGTGCACAGGATGCAAACTAACTAGAAACATGTAGAAACCCTGTGAGAATGGCTTCATATCAGGCGATTTGTCTAGAGTCTACACTACACATCCTTGGTTTTTTGGGTGCCAAATTTGGAATGATGATCTCCAATTAGCACTTCATGGCTCACCATTGAGACCCCAGCTTACCATGCCAAGGAACAGTCAACTGTTCAACAACAACTATTACATGTCACTTGGCGGTGTGGCGTGGACAGATGCTGTTTCAAGTTTCAAGGTTTCTTTAAAGCTCTGAATCAATCCCAGTTGTGAACAGGGTGAATTTACTAGTTACCCCCAATCGCTAAGGTTGACATTGGCTTCATTTTGCCAGCTAGATGGTGTGCACTGTAGTACCTAGTTGTCAGATACAGGCTCAAGATGTATATATTATATATTATTATTATTATTTTAAAAAAATATATTATATCGTGTGGGGGCCAGTGGCTCAGCCAAAACCATTTCATATTCAGAAGCACCGTGCCACCTTTATGTCCGATCGTTGCCAGGAGCCTTAAGCCTTGGTTTCGGATGACACAATGCCTGGGTAAACATGGGCTCATGGATTACCCTCTGGTAATTTAACATAGCTATTGAAAATTACCATTTATAGTGGATTTGTCCATTAAAAATGGTGATTTTCCATAGTTATGTTAGTTTACCAGAGGGTAATTTTTTGTGCCAGTGGGAAAAGGTACCCAAATATGTAGCAGATGTATCCATATGTAATCATATGTATATAGATACGCAGAGACACCCAACTAGAATCAACTATATCCAGCCGTGACAGCTTCAGCGACCGCCGCGGCTAAGAGCGATCGCTGCAAAGGGCTGGGTCACGCAGCTCGCTGTCAATGGGAACCCCAAGAAGAACCTCGTCTGCGGACCATGCGGCTGGGGGTACACATGGCAGATGGTCATTCCATAGTTAATTTTAGGATGGTTTCTTCTTTGGTGGTTCAGAAGGGGACGGATCAACTCGTAATTGGTACTTGTAGGTGAGCGTTTTGATTCCGCTACATATATGATAGTTTATACCCAGCGAATTTCACTTGTTTGCTAAGTATTTGAGACTTAGCGTGAACATGAACCCAAAGAACAGTACTGGTAGGTTTCGGTTTTCGTCAATAGTGTCATGTGAAACCATCCAATTCTTGGAGTACCCCCCTATGTTTGATTCACAGGCTCATGGCCAAAGGTTTGGGTGGCTCAGGATGGCAATTTTGATGGTTAAGAATTGCACTGGGTTTCAAAGCAAAATGTTGGGGGGTTCGACCGACTTGCAGGTGCGTGGTGTATTTCATTGCGATGGAATGCAATGCAATTCAACGTGGTGTATGCATAGACATAAAATGACATAAACATGCAGTGAATTAAATCTATACATCACCAGGACAGCTTGACAGGTAAGAAACCCAAGGGAGAAAAAGATAGATGGTATTTCTATGGGACACTCCACCGACACTCCACGGCACTGGCAAGGAACCAATGGGTCTTGGGAGACTATGAAAAGAACAGAGAAGCTAAACGAGGTCCCGTGAAGCCGTGAAACGGCATCGAGAAGCGTTTCCACAGCGTTTCCCACTGCGTTTCTGCTTGAAAACTCTTGATTTGGAATATGTGTGTGTGTGTGAATCCTGCTATCACACGCAGGCACAAACTCATATACATATGTACTTTAACCCTTGAAGTGAAAGCAGAGCAGGGGGCCACGGCTCCATTCATCAGTCCGTGGCCAACGAAGCTACTGATGTTTGGAGAGGATATGCAGTCTGATCAACTGCACGTACCTGCAAATCGAACTGTTGATTTCTGTTCCTCTATGACGCTGTTTGCTTTAAGAAAGAATTTCACATTTCGTACTGTCTCCTCTATTACTTGCACTAGCAGTTTTTGATTTTCTGAGCTCGTTCGGGAGCCTTCATGTATTGCGCTGACATGGCATCGAGCTTGTTCGGGAGCCTTCATGTATTGCGCTGGCATGGCACTGAGCTCATTTGGGAACCTTCATGTGTTGCGCTGGCATGGCACCGAGCTGATTGAGGATCTTTCATGTTGCATTGGCGTGGCACCGAGCTATAGTTTGGACATTTTCATATAGTGTACTTGCATAGCATTGAGCTGATTCGGGAGCCTTCATGTGTTACATCGGCATGGCACTGAGCCATACTTTAACAAAATTTTTATGTATTGTACTTGCATGACATCGAGCTGATTCGGGAGTCTTCATGTGTTGCATCGGCATGGCATTGTGCTATAATGTTTAGCTTTTTTTTTCAACCAATTGTGCTAGCATAGTACCGAGCTAGTTTGGAAGCTCTCCTGTGTTACAGCAGTTTGGAAGCTCTCCTGTGTTACAGCGGTTTGGTAGAGTAGGGTGCAATTTCTATCAGCAGTGTCGGCCAGGTTTCTAAGGAATTCAAGGCGAGAACGAGATCATTCACATGACGGTCCATTTCAAACCCAATTCAGCAGTGTGTACTGGGTGCACGGCAGATTATGCCGACACCGTCGCAGGGATTCGTCCCAGCTCAAGGATTTTCTCGCGACACATTAGCGTGTCGTGTAGGATGACTGTCATGTAGATGACAGTAGAAGGAGCCCAAATGGGCGAAGAACAGCCTAGCGGCACTCAAAAGGACGCCTAGCGGTGAAGGACGCCTAGAGGTGAAGGACGCCTAGCGGTGAAGGAGCCTTAAGGCGAAGACTAACTGATACATGGATGTTGCGGCACTCAGTCCACCATGCAAAGACTTGGTTGTATGTGTGTGCATGTGTGTGTCAGTGTGTGTTCCTTTGGTCTAAATAACCAAACCAGTGCTTCTCTTTGCATTATATCATTCCGTGGGAAGTTCGGAATTTGAATTCTGCATGCTTGTGTGAGGCATCAAGCTTGGGTATTCGATAAATCGTGCATGTATGACTGTATGACCTTCATGATAATGCATGTGCAGAACATGATGGGCTGTTCCGAGAAATTTCTGAATTTTGTTATGTGTACCTTGATGCGCGCAAAAATGTTTTGTTTCACTTGATAATTGCAATTTGTTACTATGTGTTAATTTGTTATTATGTGTTACTGGATGCTGGCAAACCACTGTTTCTATAGCTGCTATAGCCATGCCGTCAAAAAGTGCTGGGGGTCCGCCTCCTCAATATGATGGTCAACGACAACGCGGTCCTTTCACGATGTCTTGGTTACCACCATTGCCTCCACCACCTGCGCAGGTTCAACCCCAGGTTCATGTGAGTCCCATAGTCAATTCACCACCTAGACCAATAGCGAGTTTGAGTGTGCGGGGACAGCTGGGTGAATACCGGCTTGAAGTCTCGGACGCACAGGGTCTTCAACAACTTACTCAGATGATGGATCGTCTAAGTCAAGTGGAAGCACAACTCGCTTTGACCCAGATAGCTCAAACGGCATATCAACCTATTTTCCCCTCTGTGATGCCCGTTCCCAACCTCATGATGCCCGAAATGTTAGCCCCTTCCACAGTGGCAGAACCTAACAAAGTTGGAAGTGCTTCTCAATCGGTCGCAAGAGGGAGTGGCCATGATGCAGTCTTAACCTCAGAAGGTGTTGGAACCGCAGCAGCCTCAGATTTGAACTCGTCTTCGCCTCAAAGCCAGCCTGCCAAGTATAAACCTCGTTTACATGGTGCAAGAGTTCAGACACATGATTTCCATGGAAAGATCAAATACACTGAATACACAACGATTCAAAGACTGACGGACATGACGGTGCATGATTTTCGCTGGAAAGACAGCACAGAACGAGTCTTGGAAGTTGGACACCCATTGTGTCGACAGTGTTTTGTTACACCAATACTTGCTGGCTTCTTCTGTGATGCCCTTCAGCCTCTGACCCGCGGAAATTTTCAGCAGTGCGTATGGGAAGAAGTATATTATTTACTCAATGAACGGTTACATGCAGACTTGTTTCAAGTTTCTGAGAGACTTGCGAATGCTTTGGAACTTGGTCGGGTAGTGGAAACGTCACAGAAGTACGCCCCAAATCCAGAATATTATACTCGCAAGCGGCGGTTTATATTGGAACCGGAGATTACCATCCAGGCTACGCCTTTTGGGGATTTCTTGGCAGATCAAATTCGTTCAACCTTTCCTGGTGACTTTCATACTCTCAAGGAGGCATGTTTTGTGCTTAGCAAAGCGATGAATTCTTTTCCAACTTTGATTGAGATGTTTCAGAAAGCAGAATTTATTCAGCTTTCACATTCAGCGGACTCTACGACCACAAAGTTCAAAGGGGCTGTGATTCTCCATTTGGACATTCCTACCTTCAAGACAGTTGGTGATGCTCCTCAATTTCCCTCTGTTTTTACCTTTGCACACAATAGTAGTATTTTGACTGCCTGTACCATTCTACGGGACGGGTATATTCGACCTTCAGCTGCTGCCGAACATCAAGCTCAATGGTTGCCAGTTCCTGGTTTCTATTCCAGGGGGAGCATGAGTAACAGTGACCGTGAAGAAGATGTCAAACGATCACTGAAAGAAACATTCCGAAAGGCAATGGCATATTCACATTTCTCAGACGCAACTCGCCCCACCAGTATTTTTGGAGTTGCATATTCGCGACAGCACCAGCACTGCACCATACATGCCGGAGGCGTTTGTGCGGATCATGCCGCAAGTCTCTTTTGGGATGCTTGTCATAATGTTTCTGATCGGCGCTGGATTTTCAGGTCCCAGTTAGCGCAAGTCAAGGGCATAGCCGTGTATATTTAGATATGTTTAGATTAATTTGTGAGCGCAGCGCCAAAATAATATATTCACCATGTGCCCCTGCATTTCTGTTGCGATTTTGTGAGCGGAAGATGTGGCTGTCATATCAACAGTACAGAATGATAGAGCCGTTCGCGGTGATTATGTTATCAGTGAGTGTGAAACAGGAATGGCAAATTGAATCAATTTGATGTTTGTTTGGCAATTAACTTCTTGAAGTGATGTTCACAGTTTGATCCCCTCGCAAAATCCGGGTATTTACTTTTAGCTTTGTCGTTTTGATTTCTCATTTCAAGCTACCAAAAGTGGCGAGTATAGTGTTATACCAATAGGTGAGATGTTGTGGCAAATTGGGCACACTTTTCACTCACATGCACTTTTGTTGTCAAGCCCTTAGAGTGACAGTGTGGGTAGCGATCTCAGTCCGCAGTTCGTCTTAGCCTTAGTGCAGTGTTACCTCTGGGCTTTTGGCTCGGATGAGATTGATCGTTCAGCATTCACAACCTGCACACGTCTGTTGGGCGCAACTTCAAGATATTTTTGCATTGCATTTACATGTTGATCCAGAATATTTCCGATGTATCGATGAGGCGCTGCAACTTTGCAGAATACGTTTTCCACACAGACACATGACCAAAAACCAGCTGCTTCAGTACGCCTAGATTGGTAACGAGGATGAAAACAGGGCTGACATTGCGCATGTACAAGATGTCGGATTGATACTCTTTCCTTCCTCCGTTGACATTGGTGCTTCTTCTTCATGATCATAAATTTCCCTGACAAGAGCATGTACATGACAGACTGCTCCTGAAGCATCAGAATTGCACAGTTGAAATTGCACCAAACATGTTGTGACCATTTGGTTTCAGCTTAAGCTTGGCACTTCAAATAAGTAAAGACATGATTCCGCTTAGAACTTCAAAACTCCAAAAGTTGCTTGTTTCGTCCTACTTAATGGCCCTATCGGGCCCAGTGTGTGTGTGAATCCTGCTATCACACGCAGGCACAAACTCATATACATATGTACTTTAACCCTTGAAGTGAAAGCAGAGCAGGGGGCCACGGCTCCATTCATCAGTCCGTGGCCAACGAAGCTACTGATGTTTGGAGAGGATATGCAGTCTGATCAACTGCACGTACCTGCAAATCGAACTGTTGATTTCTGTTCCTCTATGACGCTGTTTGCTTTAAGAAAGAATTTCACATTTCGTACTGTCTCCTCTATTACTTGCACTAGCAGTTTTTGATTTTCTGAGCTCGTTCGGGAGCCTTCATGTATTGCGCTGACATGGCATCGAGCTTGTTCGGGAGCCTTCATGTATTGCGCTGGCATGGCACTGAGCTCATTTGGGAACCTTCATGTGTTGCGCTGGCATGGCACCGAGCTGATTGAGGATCTTTCATGTTGCATTGGCGTGGCACCGAGCTATAGTTTGGACATTTTCATATAGTGTACTTGCATAGCATTGAGCTGATTCGGGAGCCTTCATGTGTTACATCGGCATGGCACTGAGCCATACTTTAACAAAATTTTTATGTATTGTACTTGCATGACATCGAGCTGATTCGGGAGTCTTCATGTGTTGCATCGGCATGGCATTGTGCTATAATGTTTAGTTTTTTTTCAACCAATTGTGCTAGCATAGTACCGAGCTAGTTTGGAAGCTCTCCTGTGTTACAGCAGTTTGGAAGCTCTCCTGTGTTACAGCGGTTTGGTAGAGTAGGGTGCAATTTCTATCAGCAGTGTCGGCCAGGTTTCTAAGGAATTCAAGGCGAGAACGAGATCATTCACATGACGGTCCATTTCAAACCCAATTCAGCAGTGTGTCTGGAAATGGGTTTTATGTTTTTTTTCTTGATAAATGACAATTCTCAATGATGGGAAAATGAGTGAATGAATCTCTGGATTTCGAGGTAGCCTGGTAGCCTATGTGTTGCCAGGTCATCAGATGATGTTGAACACTGACCTCTGCCTGGCATTTTCCAATGACAACAAGGGTAAGGTGGATTTGTTGCCTGGCCTTAACGCTAAGGGGTCAGCGTCGGACAGTCATTAAAAAAACTGCTTTCTAGAAGGGTGTGTTCATGGGGAAACTGACTGGTGAAGACTGGGTGAGCCGCTTCATTTGGAGTCCTCTTTGATGGTGGAATCTTTCCTGTGCCACCAGTTTTTTTTTTCTACAGGGTAATAATCTACAATGTTGGACCCTTGTCAGTTGTAAACTGGAGTTTCACACTTGGCCCAAGCAGTCGGGTTGACATTGAATTGTTCTGCTAGTTCGATGGTACCATTATTTATATATATAATATATACACACACATATTTAGGAACTGGTAGCTAGAGGCCCCAGCTTGCAAAAGTTGTCAACTTCATGACTTCATCCACTAATTATTGTGAGACGTGGATGATGTGGATTGCTGGGAGCCTTTTTGGTGTCATGTCTCTGTTTCGCCCGTTGTGGGTTCATTCATCCTGATACCTACGCGCCAGGCTTTCCAGTCACCAGACCGGTGACCGGACATAGCATTTCACAAGGAGATCTCTCAAAAAACCATAGGTGTAGAATCATGCACACATGATCAAGGGGTGATTTTCGATTGCCAGGTTCCATCAACGGGTACAGCCCATTTGCTCAAAATGCTGCAGGCTACAACATTTAATGTGTTCCATCAAAGAACACCCATCAAAGAGCACATCACATACTGTGAGTAAAGCACTGGCAAATAACCATCCCCATTTTCACCTGAAATGGGTGGTATGAATCATCAAAATATTGGAGTTTTGTTATTGCCTTACCAACATTAGTTTTTTTTTTCACAAACTATGATCTTTGCTCACGTCTCTAGTTTGCTGCAAATTGCTGACAGGGGATCATCGTATGACCCAGCTGTTTTGGTCGAGCTGTTGATTTGGATTTCTTTATCCTGTTTTGACATGACATATTCATGAACCATCTTTCAGCACTTCCCAGCATTGGATGATGGGAACATCTAGAGGAGAGCCATCTCACTCAAGGTGCTGCCCCGCAGTTTTGTTAGTTGTAAGCGAGAAAAAAAAACACCATCCAAAATTGTACCCAAACCATAGTTCTGCCCCAATCAAAAGTTGTTTTTTTTGACCCCCAGCATATTTACTGTAGGTACATGTAGTATACCATAGATCCCAGTGAACTATTCGAGGTCTTTTCGCCACGGATTTACTCATCACTGGGCCCCAACGGGGTTCCCGCGAACGGCGGCCCGGTTCACGGCGGCCCAGGAATGCGAAAACCGCTGTGGACTACGGATGTCGCTGCGCCTGGATGGGACCGCTGGAAGCCAAAGATGTCGCCCTGGCCGACGATGGAAACACCGACGGGGGGATCAATAGCTGGTTGGTTTCTAATGGATCCGATATAATGGATGCGACTTGGTACCAGAATTTTAGGAAACCCCCATTAATACACGTGTATATATATATATATATACAGCCATAAAATCCCATTTAAGTGGGGGTATTGCTTGATATTCCATAACTGGGAAAATAGGCCATTTACCTTTACTATCAGTGGGATGCGCCCCAAGTAGTGAGTCCCACAGTAATCTACATCGTTTATTTTAGCTTGAGATAGGATATAATAGGATGTTTCGAAAAGGGACGAGCCAGTTCCTGTTGGTGAAACAAATTTAATTACTCATGTTGATCCACCATCCCCATTTTTATCATTTTTATGGGTGCTATAAACCATCAATCCATATGGTTAGTTTATGATATTGCTTGACCAACACACTGTAGTAGTTTTGGCATGTTTTGGCATTGATCCGGGTGAATTATAAGGAAGCTGTGCGGCTTCGTCATGAAGCTGCTGATTCCTATCACAAAATCACAATCCATGATTGTTGGTAAAAACCAAGTCGGTGGCAAAAAAAGTTTCAAATTGCGTTGTCTTTTCTTGTTTTAAACACGTTCTTTCATGCCAAATTTCATGTTTGTGCTATAGCGGATGCTCAAAACTGCGTGACTGGACTGGATAACAGATCAGGGGTTTTGGATGGGACATGTGCCATGGTCAAGACTTGCAACTTGCAACATGTTATATATATATATATATATAGATAATTATAGATATATACATACAAATATTTGTATATACACCCATTAGGGGATGGTCATCAGTGGATCGGGATTAGATGGGATTAGTATAGTTATATCAGGTATACGGGGTATGGTCATCCTGCCATTGTTACAGATATAAGTTATATCTGTAACAATGACAGGATGACCATACCCTGTATACCATGTTTTGACTATGGCACACATGTGGACATATGTGTTCAACACAGATTCATGGCGGCTGGCGGATGACCATAGCTATTGAGGTTGATCATCACCCGGCATTATCACATTCCCACAATGATTTGCCCACTGCTATTTTTCAATGATTTGATGGGAAGTGTATTGTTTGCAGTGATATCAGATTTCAAGTTTGGAATCATTTACCCTCTGGTAAATTAACATAGACCCTGAAAATAGCCTAGTTTTAATGGACACTAATCTTCCAACCCCTATCTGCCAGGGTCTATGTCAATTTACCAGAGGGTATTTAATGGCCAAATGACCCCCAGTTTCGAAGTGGAACCCATTTGAATGGCCAAATTTCTCAGAACATCATCGCCCGTTTTGGTTCTGAATTTCGGGGATGTTGGCATCCACATGGAGATTTCCTAAAATAGGGGTACCCCTAAATCATACATTCTAATAGGATTTTCCATTATAAACCATAAACCATCCATTTTGGGGACCCCAATTTTAGGAAACCTCCACACATAAAAAAAAATCAGGACCTAATCTCCAAGTTGTTGTTAGCTTGCCAGGCTTGGATCAGGTACAACAAGGGCAAGTTGCTTGGCTTTTGTTTGTCAGAAACATCTATAATCTTGTGAAATACCGTATCCAACAGTAGAGATTTAGCTACAGTATTTAAAGTACATGCGAATTGTGTTTGTCGACAATATCCAACCACCAAAGCAGAACAAATTTCATAGGAACTCTACTTGTCCAACATGGACTTGTTGAATCTTGTTGACCCGTTGGTCTTTGCGGATACCGGGGGTGGTAAGTGTTCCATTTTGAAGATATTTTTGAATATCACCTCCAAGTGGCAGTGTTTCCGCCCCTGCCTACCCAACTGACTATCTTGTCAAAGGCGGAACGACTGTCGCTTTGTAGAAAACCAATATTTCATATTCAACCTGTTCGTCAGACATGCTAAGCCCTTTTTTTTCCACAACCAACAGCAATAGGGATTAAACAGGATTCACCTGTTTGTTTCTTTCAGGTTCTGTGGCACCAAAGACATCCCGGACGACTTCCCAAGATGGACGAGGCCACAAAAACTCAGTTTGATGATTTTCCCAACATGGTCCCGTTGAAATTGTGACTTCCCAATCAGATTAGAATACTAGGGGGTTATTGTGGATAGTGGAAGCCTTGATTTGGTGTATATATAAATTTAGAGGTCCCCCATCCACTTTTATTGTAAACAACTGTCTCCCGAAACTATGATTTACTATTTTTTGTTTCCCATTAGGGTGATGATTGTTACTTCCAGGATGGGATTTATCTTCTTGGCGAGGTTTCGAAGGTGACATGATCAATTATAGTGGATCTGTGAGGCCACACAGTCCGAAACTACCAAATCTCACCCATTTCAAAATCGATGGCCAGAAACAGTGTCACATCGTGCATGTCGCAAAATGAGAAGGGCCCGCAGTTATGAAAAACCGTCCCGGATTGAGCATTATTCCAGATCAGCCTCTTTTGCTTTTGGGGATTTTGGGATTTTTGGGGGTATGGGCAGTGTTTCAATGATAATCAATGGATGGGCAATGGATGTCGGATAAATGGATGATCTGCCTCTCATCCATCAGGGGTTAGTAAGTGTCCTAATTTTTCACATCACTCAACTATTGGGGATATTTTATCTCCAACAGATACTTTGGTGATGTTCAACCCCCCAAAAGGGGACACTTGCCAACCTTTGTCTATAGATTTAGATTTCATCCAAAAAAGACTCCTGGATTGTTGCCCTTTCCCCACAGGCAACGGGAGATTTGCTGCGACATGCATGATCCTTATGGGCGTCATACCGTGACTTGGCGTAGTCTCCGGTGAGGTAGCGTCCTGCCGCCGCAAACACGTGGATCTTTTTGGATTGGGTTCAGGATGAAACGCAGAAAACTCACCAGAAAACTCGAAAGACATCCAACATTATCGGATGAATCATCCAACATCATCCGTATCCAATCCATGACCCATTTGGGGATGGGTCAAAAACCTACGTTTTTTATTACCATATTTAGGGGAATCAACATCCAGCTATACCATCACCGGGCTGTCAGTTGGATCGGATCGTCCGATCGGATGCAGATCGGCCATTTGCAGCCGAAGGTGAAGTACACCACACTATTCCATACTAAAGTCAGCAGGCCCTTAGCGAAGCCTATCAATAAAGTATTTGGATGTATTTGGTATGTCAAAGACTATATTCAAAAATATACATGATTATAGATTATAGTGTATATGTATATATATATATTTATTTCAAGATATATATATATATGTATATATTTAAAGGTATATATATATATGTTGATAAATCTATTTACAAACATACATATATTATTATATGTATTGATAAAAAATATTCTATGGTTTATAAATATATACTGTAATGGATATGTATGTATGACATAATTATATATATATATGATATACATGAATGAAATAAATAAATATATATATATACATTGCTAATATATATATATATACATGATTTTGAAATATTTATAATATATTCATATATTCATATGATATATATATATATGATATTTCTTTTATATATATGTGTGTGTGTTTTTCATATACGTGTGATATATATATATATATACTGATAAATGATATATGTTTTCTGTTTTTAATATATATATATATATCCATCTTTTTGATTTGATATATATATATGTTTATATTTATATATCAACATATATATGATATATATATATATAACACATTAATATGCTATATGTTTTAATATCTATATGATCTTGAAGTTTTACATTAATATATATATATATACATGATATTTATTTGATATTTAGATATGGCTGACATATGTATGGTATATATATATATACATATATATATATATATATACATATTTTGATATATATATATACACGTGATAATAATATATATATATATATATACATATATTTAAAAAAACACATATTTGATATATATATATATATATATTACATACGATCATTAATTTTATATATGCATATTTTGTATATTTGATATATTTATATATTCGATATATATATATATATATATATATGATATATATATATATATACATATTATGTAAATCACATTTTTTTCAAACATGTATATGCACACATATTTCAAATATACATGATATATGATATTTGATAATATGTGTATGTATGTATTATAATATATATATATATGAATGACCATTACTATTGGCTGGCCAAGCCTTGGGGAATGATCGTTCAGTCACAGGGTGACATCAAGGACTGTGGCAAGCCTGAACGTCCCCGCGGACGAGCATGGGGTGACGTCAAATCGTGGCTGAAACTCAAACTGGAGGGTGTGAAGGGAAATCCTTGGTGAGGGATAATTACTAGCGTTATACCTTTAAACATTTCTTGAATGTAAAACATTTCTTGAATGTACAATGCACATAGTTTATCATGTTGTTTTGGCCAGGGATGGGGGAGTATGTCCTATAGTTGCAGGATATCTATTGAATTCGTAAAACATGTGAACAGAGGCTTTGGATGATAGATTCCGCGGGTAATTTCACCACGTTCAATTCAAAATATATTTCATGGCGGGCCTCAGTTGCTAATCATCAATAGTATCACAACTTCTAGCATTGTCGGAGTGGATGTTTTTTTGTGCAATGATCTACCCGTGCTCCTTGAAGCCACGAATGACTGGCCTGACTTTGGCCCCGCCAGGTCTCCCAGAATTTCCCGAGGTTTATGTCGAGCGAGGCAGCATGGTTACAGGTCTTCAAGGAGGCGTGGATCATCTCCACCAGCAACGGGTTTGAAGGCAAACTGAAGAACTTACAGTGAGATTGCGATGGGCAGAGGGTAGTTGAAGTTTCAGGTGGTTTCGAGTGGTTTCATACTTTATATTTTTTGGGGTGGATATTTGCTATAATTATTCCCTCGCACTTAAATGGATAAACATGAGATAACATGAGATGATGATGCGCAAGGACTGAGACCACCAACCAGTATAGAGTTTTGTTTTGATTTTAATGATAGTGAAGGGCTCGGTGTCTCAACATCCGAGCTTAGCTGCAGCGGACACTGGCGGACCAGCCCTGACCATAGATTGTGGTGAATTGGGGCCAGCAACGACCATGGTTTCTACCATGGTTTCTACTGGTTTCACTGTACTGAGTGCTTTTGAATCCAATGACCCAAACATGGTAACCACTATTAACCACTAGTAACCACTATGGTGAGTACTGGTGAACCAATCACCCAATCTGTGACCATCCGAGAATCGAGTATAGAAGCCGCTGGCGCCGACGCCTTGCGAAGTCAAGGGTTCGCCACGTCAACTCAGGTGACTCAGGAATCGGATGGATCAAGCAGTCTACGGTGAGGAATGCATGCATTTTGCTGGATGAGTTTTAAGGCGTGAACAAAAAAAGAGAGTGCAGAACTTTGTAAACAACATTCTACTGTTCAGATTTTAAGTGCATTTGTTCAGTTTACTTTGTAAACAACTCGAAAAGCACTCTGAACAACTCTTTTTACAAAGCTTTTCCTTTCTGTTCCATCGTTTCATTCTGTTTCATATATCATACCATCATATATCATCATATATCATCATATAATGGGTGATAGATGGTATATGATAGTATATGATGGTATATGATGGTATATGATGGTATATGATGGTATATGATGGTATATGATGGTATATGATGGTATATGATGGTATATGATGGTTGATCTTTGGGGATGAGTATGTTATCTCATCGGGATGGATCCATGGTTGTCCCCATATTTTTTGGGGGGCCGCCTGGAAGAAGCATTGAAAGTCAAACGTCAAGACTTGCCAAAAAGATGTAAAAAGGCATACAAGTGCTAGATAATACAGGATAATACAGGATAATACAAGCTACAGGATGCCACTTACCCCCTACTCACACAGCCGCCATAGCCTTTAAACTTTAAAAGAGAACAGCAAGAACGCAGTTGATGTCGTCACGATTTATCCTCTGATCTCAGTTCCGACCACAACGATGGTCGACCGATGGTCGACGTTGGGATAAGCATCAAAACCATGGCCTGGGACACTCACGGTTTCAATTGATCAATTCAACTTATCTATACATCCAGAGCTACATATCACGTTCTTCTTGCTTTGTATTACTCTATATTCATATGATACAACCAAACTGATCTTGCCAAGACATTGGATAAGTTAAAAACGTTGCACCAACGTTGGACACAAAGGACACGCCGATTTCCACAGAACGTTGGTGCAACGAAGGGCCGATGGCCTGGCAACTGAGGTGGTGCCAGGAACACATCCAATTATTTTCTGATCAATCCTTGGCGAACATTGCCACCTGGTGGCAGGGGATGGTCACTTATTTTAAAAAACAGACCTATAATTACCTATACACATAGATGTAGATATGATACATATATATACATGTATATATATATATATACACATAACTATATATGTGTATGAATATGTGTCTGTGTATGTGTATGTGTCTGTGTATACATATATACAGTATATATATATATGTACATATATATATATATATACACGTATTCTGTATCTGGCCACCATTCGTGTTCTTCGATGCTCCGTTTTACCAATGCTATGGTGAGCTGGGTAGCTGCGTAGCTGATTTCATGGCAAAGTTGTTGAGGGTATGCGCTTGGAACTTGTTTATTGCTCAAGGCCTCAGTCCTTGAAACATCCAGCTATATCCAACTGGCTAGTCAACTTCCACCACTCCAAGGTTGCAGAGGAAACGCTGATGGGAGACATGTGTCCCTCCAAGAATCGGTGGGTTCGGATATTTCAGATGACTTTAGATGGATTCCAATCATGACATATCATGACACAACATAACATTCAATTTTGAAATCCGAGGATCATCCAACTGAGTATATTTCATACTGCTCTAGACGCCAAAATTGAATCGTAGAATGCCAACACTAATTATACTGAAGGGATCAATTGTAGCACCTCAATCTTAAACCATACCCGACAAAAAAGGGATCCCTAGTCAACTAACTTGGCCTGATGCCTAGCTTTACTAGGGTTTATGATGGAATATGATGGAAATATCTACAATGGGGATGTGTTTGTAAAATGTTGGAAACGAACTATAACCAACTTAGGATATGATGGACCGATGGACATAAACCAAAACCAACTTATAACTTCCAACTTATAACTGAATATGATGAATATACGCCAAACAACTGGAAGGCGGGGCGAGTTCCAACTCATGTTGCCCCGAGGTGAGTTCCTTTGGCATGTCGCGACCTTAGCGCTGAGCCAATGGGGGGACACCGATGCTTGGATCAGCAAGTTTGGCTAGGTCATATGATATTTCCATATATTTCCCAAGTGGCACAATTTGTCAAATGTCAAAGATTTAGTTGCTAATGATATAACATGATCTAATTAATCCAACAACCGATCCCATGGCCAGTCCCTGCCAATGCGTATTTTCAGATGGGATGCCCCTCTTCCGTAAAGCATGTGACCTTCTCCCAGTATCACCGGCAAAGAGACAAGATACCTCATGGAAACCTGCATGGTTTGCTGCCACAGGCAGCAACTGACTTTGGCGAATCTATGGGTGAATGGGTGGTAAACGGATTGTTTTGGCCAACCAAAATCTGGAAGCATGGCGGCATAAAACAATCTACCTGAATCCACCATGTGTTGTATTTTTTTTGCATGTGTTTCTGTTTTGTTGGGTGAATTGAGGGTCAAACATGATCTACTTGGCAGTGCAGTGTTACAGTTGTGGGCACACAGCCTGCGGGATCACATCCCCATGGGGTGAACTCACCACTGACCGTGGTCGTAGTATGTTACACCATTTAACACACCGCTTGGCTGGGCCATGCTGGGCCACTTTCAGTCATCGTCCCAGTCGTCCCATCCCCTTTTTTGAGCGCCACAATGATCAGGTCCAGGGATATCCAGGGATGACCTGAATTCGCCCGAGGCTACGGATCAATTTACATCCTTCCTTTTTGGCTTCTGTGGAGCGACAGGCGGACAAAAGGACAAAAGATACAAAAGGGGCCCTGCTGGGACTTACAAACGATTGTAATGCGAATAACGTGTGTATATATATATATATAGATATACCATGATATACGATGATTTTTTTTCCTAGCAGGCACCCAGATGCAGTCGCTGCGGCCTCTTGCGTCGAATTCTGCTGCAGCTGTGGCAGCGGCCATCACGTGGCAAAATCAGAACCCAGAAATCTGCCATATTTTGTCATGTGCAGTTTACTCCACAATTCTAGGTCTGACTGTGATGGCTCCTTTACATCGCTGCAAGGCCATTGACTGATGGTGCTGTGCAAGGAAGCCGCAAGTGCTCCGCACATTGCAGGGGGATATTCCTTAAGGGGCGACGTACGCCACCTTCCATCAGCATCAAGGCCAAAGGCTGCGCCTTTGGGCAGCTCCACGCACACTCTCCAGCTGTGCAGCGCGTGGATAACCCCTGGGAGGTTCAAAAGGAGTAGCTGGGTCGGCTTCGCCGTGGGTGCTCCCAGCAATCCTTGAGCAAATTTGCATATATCTACGCCAGGACAGTTGAGCAAGGCTTGCACGACCGGGAGCTTCCAAATGCTTGGAGAATCACAACCAGGCGGCGGCGCAGGGTGCTCCACAATGGCGCATCCACTGGTGATGACGAGTTCCAAGAAGGCTTGGAGTACGAACATGAGAAGTTCGTTGCCCACCATGACCTGTTGGAGCTCCTTGAGACGTAGGCAAGCGAATCCCCATAGTTCGGTTGCACTGCGGACTGGTCTCGGCCCTCTGCGCTCTTCAGTAAGACAGTGCTCGCGAGCTGCGGTCCAAGTCTCGCACGGGGGGCCGGCCAGCAGCGCAACAACGTAGCGCTCTTTAATGGCCTCCAGCCAGTACCTCCGCGTGCTCGGATTTCTCGCATCGCCGAACTCCTCGTCAATCACGATGTCCATAGAGACAATGTGCAGGATATAGGGCTCGTCAAACTGGGACTGGAACTTCTCCAAATAGAATTGTACATCCCCTGGTCTCCGACGCCCGGAGTAGGCGTGGAGAACCACTCTATGTTTCCCAAAGAGCGGGGGAACAGATTCCACAGAGCCAGCTGCGTCCAGTGCAGTACAGCGCATCTCCAAGTCAGGGATGCTGTAGTTGGTTCGATGATCCGGCTTCTTAGGGACCGAGAAGGCGAAGGTCTCCGCTGTACGCAGACTACTCAAGGTGGTCCGTAGGTCGCCAAGAGGTACTCCAGCAAATAGAGCATCTTCAGCACCAAACGCCTCCTCGAAGAAGTCGATCGTACTTGTCCAGGTAGTCCAGGAAATAGCATGCTCCTCCACATACTCCCTGGCAGCCCTTTCAAATCCAGCCAAGCTCATATCTGGTTCAACCCTGTCTGTCAAAAAGACAAACAGCCCATCATCAATTCCTGGTGCATCACGTGGTCTTGCAGGTTGGTTATGAGGTCCTTCTGCTTGTACCGGTGGTAGAAGGCGGTCATGACGCAAGGTCAATTGTCTGTCATGTGCAGATCCCGAACCAGGTGCGATGGTGTCCTGCATGGGTCTGCTTTGTAGGGCTTGTCGGCATCGAGCAGAATAATGGATGTGTGCTTTCGTCTTCTGGAGCGTGTGGAAGACCTTCAAACAAGCGGGGCATGTTGGCTCCATGAAGAGCTTTCTAGTCGCTGCGACGTGTCCATGCTTCTTGAACATATGTGCCGCCTCTCCAGCCTTGGTTGCACATGTAAGGCCGCATTTCAGACATCCAAAATGCTTTTCTTTCTCAGCATCTTCTGCATCATCTTGCCATACAGCTCCAGGGGCGTGGAAATCTCGAAGACGGTCCACCATGTCAAGATGAAATTCCTTGATGGTCCA